TATGGATGCTTATAGAAGAGCTCAGCCTCCATCTGCGCTCTGGATCTTTGACCAACACTCGTTTCAGCAGGTCAAGGCATGAGGCCGAGCAAACGTCCCCATACGTGATTGGCGGACCGCTCTCGATGCGCTTCAACAATTCAATAGTACTCTGAGCGCCTGGATATGGTGGATACCCGTGGAGCATCTCATACAAAATACAGGCTATAGACCAGAGGTCAGCACGATAATCGTATCTATGGGGTGAGGGACATTACTGTGGGACATAAACCAGCATCAGGCCCTGTGGCGCAACGGTAGCGCATCTGACTCCAGATCAGAAGGTTGTCCGTTCGAATCGGGCCGGGGTCATTTTTGCACAGAATCGTTTTTCACAAAATTGCTTTTGGATGCATCATCAACCCTTTTGGGATGCAGATCGAACTCTCGAACTACGCGGAGCACCATTCCGAGTAGTCCGACGTCTCTCACCGTTCATGTCTAAGTATTTCTGGTGCCATATACATCGGGCTGCCACACACAGTGGCCGCCATGTCAGTTGGCTGCAGCGACCTGTAATAACAATGCGAGCTTACGACCGTTGTTGAATGATAGAAACATACCTTGCAAAGCCAAAGTCTGCCAACTTGAGGATGTACATCTCATCACTTATCGCACTTGGACCAGAAGAAATTGAGCTCGCCGGCGAGCCTGATCGGAGTCACGGAGGAATTCCCTCTCTTTCGGTGTGACGCCGCGACGGACGCCGGCTCACTTTCGGCCGAGGAGAGATAGCTATATGAAAGCAGCACATTCTGCGGCTTGATGTCCCTGTGTATGAGTGGTGATGGTTGTAGATGGAGAGACGATAAGCCAGAGCAGATCTGTGCGAAGAACCGACGGGCTAGTGATGGCCTGTACGATGGAGTACACCATTGTTGTAGAACAGCAGAGCCTACTCAAGCTTGCCTCCTCTAGCCTGCATGAACTGGGCCAAATCCCCACCCTCACAGTATTCAAGCACCAAGTAGAAGTGTCCTTGGGATTTACGAAGGTCTATGAAACGCACAATATTCTCATGCCGCAGCTTCCTGAGAGCGCTGACCTGAAGGTGACCCATGACCCGAGCCTCTGTGATGCAACTCTAGACCCACCTCCTGCCTCAACTGACTTGTCTCCTGCACTGTACCTCTATTGATAACCTTCACTGCCACTAACTTATCCGGATGAGATATCATATGTCCCCGCCAGACCTAGCAAGCAGTGTCGCTTCCCTCAGAACGGCTGCTCATACCTGGGCATAGCTCCCCCTGCCTATCCTTTGGTCCAATATATACCCACCGACTTGCTTCTTCCCAGCCACGGCACTACTGCTGCTCCGAGATAGAGACCCTACCATATACACTGAGACTCATCACACAGCAGAGGGACACTACCAACAGCACTGCGGTGAGCATCGGCCGCATCAGCATGAAAATCATCATCATCTGTCTTCACGGTGTCTGTTCGTACCAATGGGGGCGGACGAGCTGTGTGTCCT